CATCACGGCAGTAAAATGATATCAAGGTAGAAAATGTCGCATCACGGCAGTAAAATGATATCAAGGTAGAAAATGTCGCATCACGGCAGTAAAATGATATCAAGGTAGAAAATGTCGCATCACGGCAGTAAAAAGATATCAAGGTAGAAAATGTTTTATCACGAACCGTAAAATGATATAAAGGTGAAAAATAACAATGGCTGATTGATGCTATCACAGGAACATTTTATTGGATATGTCACAACCACATCAAACAATACGTTTACAAATAATTTTGAAACAAACGGCGCGCCATAACACGTCATGTATTTTTACCAATGATATAGTGATGAACCTTATCACATAAATGCTTTTCTAAGCACTTTCATTTTGTACTTCCGCCCTAAGTTCCGTCATAATCGCTAAGTTATTTTGCTTTCGATTCAATGATGGAACCAGAAGAAAATACAGCGCCTGAACATGAACTCCAGTTTGGAGGGCACGATTTTATGTTCGTTGATGAGCCGTCTTCCGAACAATTTTGCTCTGTATGTCTTCTTGTTATGAAAAATGCTGTTCAGACAGTATGTGGTCATCGCTTCTGCAGACACTGCCTCGTTGGGACATTCAGGTACCAAGATTTTGTTAATTTAACATAGACATGCTAAACTTCACTCACTAATAGGCCGATGGTCATGAAGTTATAATCGTTGCGTTCTCTGATGCATACACTCGACTGATTCGATAGAATTTCAAGCTGTCACAGTTTTTTGTCCGCGACGAAACATGCTATCAACAAATCTTTAATCAGACAAGTACTGTTCCGCTGTATCATAAATCACTTCTGAGGTATCCGAAAAAGGAACATTGAAATTCATGGTTTGAGGTCTTTCAAGGCCCATCGTCATACGGCGATTCAGTCGAAGCTTTTTCAAAAAAATACTTTTTGTGGGATGAAGGTCTTCTTGCACGCCATCGGCAAATAATCAGTCACGCACGGCACCGCCATGTAATGAATTATTTGCGAAGAATACATCTGCGCAAAGGAAGTAGAAAAGAAATAGGAGACGTCTCTGCACGCAGGCTAAGGATGCAAAAAAGTAAAAAAGGTTTATTTCTATGTCTGTATTTTATTTCCTGTAATAAAGTTTACTTTTTTGAGCCCAAGATTCTTCCTTTTTCAGGGAAGGTCAACATGCCTGTCCACAGGATAGAAATCCTATTCCCGAGGAGGGAGGGGTGAGTACATTATTTGCTGCAAGATATATGAAACACACCAAGAGTCATCCTCTCTTGATACCACAGAACAGTCGATAAATAAAATCGGTATTAGTTAACTTGTCAACTGTTTTGCCTCATCAGTCGAACAAAACTTGTTATTAGAGTGATTTTTACTTAACCTGTGAAAAAGGGTAGTAGAATACATTGTACTACGCACTATTATGCACTAATTCCATTGTCTTCTTTTGTTTACTTGTAGCTATTTTGCACTAGTTGTTATTCTCTGTTTCACGGGTCAAGTAAAATCACTCTGTTTCGGTATGGGTGAATGTTTTGAACTAGCAAGCGAGTTTGCCGTTGAATAAAATTTTAACTGAGGCGTCCCGACCTGTTTCCCGCTGAAATGCACATCTACTGTCGGTTCACGCCGTTCTTCTGTTTTTTTTTTTCTCCTCGAGTCTCTGTAAGACGCGCAGACAACAACAGGATCCGTCTCTGAAATAGTTGACTGCCTTTGCCAAGATTCATATTTGCCAGTTAACTTTGAATTCTATTATATTTTATAATTTGCATGATATGCTGTACCAAAAATAACCAACTGAGCAGTGAAACACATGCAGTGCACTTTNGTTTGTAGCTCTCAATGAAAATCGAAAAAGCAACTATGGCACCTTCAAAGAATCCGACTTAAAAATGTCCGGGTGACACTCATCCGTTTGCGTCTGTTGGGTTTAGCTTAGAAGTTAGTCTATTCATTTAATATTTGGTCAAACGTGAAGGCCAGTTTGTTACTCGTTGTTTTATAAGAATGAAAAATTAACTTCCCTTTTCGCAGTTTTAGATCCATTTCTAGCCATTTCAGAAGACTTCAGTTTCAAATTTTCCCGGGGAGCATGCCCCCGGACCCCCCTAGTTGGCTCACGCTAACGCGTTCACATTAGCCCCCCGACTTGAAAATCCGCTCCGCGGGCCCTGACTTTTCAGACTTTTGAAAACAAAGTCGATTGAAGTGCATGCTATACGAAATGAAACACATTGAAGAAGTTGTTCCTTTGTATTCCTGCTTTTGCAGTTTTTTCCTGATGTGGCCTGGGAGAGGAATATACTGTCGCTTCGGGTAAAATGTAAAATGAGTAAAAGAGGCTGTGATTGGACAGGACAATTACGTCATTTTCAGGTAATGTGAAAGGAGGATTATGCAGTCTTCCCCTGATGCATTGCGCCGTAATATGTTATCCAATTGGTTTGTGACGTCATCACTTTTTAAGATGGATGCATCGAGTAAACAACTCCATCAAGCTCCTGTCTTCGGGGAAGATTCAGACGTGATTTATTAGAATTGCGATTTGAATACCAAAAAAGACCTTACATTACCTTCGCTGCAATTTTTACGGCTGAATGTGGTCTTCGGCCAATTCATTTTCGTCAGCTCTTTGGTGGAGAGGCGTTAGTATATGCAGTGGTATATGTTAGCGGCTAACAGGCGAATTTTGGATAAACTCAACGGCGTGAGATTTCTATTTATTGTACAGGTTATTGAGAAAGCTCAAAAGAAAGCTCAATTTTCTTTTCGTGGGCAAGAAAACTTTTCATTATGAAATTGTTCTTCGATTAATTCAACCTAGCTTATTTTCTTCACGGCGGAGCGCTTGGCCTGTTTTCTGCTGTTTTGAAATGCAACCAAGGCAGCGACGTTTTGGAGAATTTTGAGGTACAGATTTACTCTATGGTCAACGAAATTACGTTTTTAAAAGGAAATTTATGTATTTATAAATGTTTCATAGACAATTAATTCATTTTGGTATCGGTGTTTATCGAAAAATTACAAAAATTAAATGTACCGCGATTGGAGATGGTGTGATTTATTGTGTTGAATTTTGCCGTGTGCTGATTTTTACTTGCGTAAACGGATCCAAGTCCTAAGTAGTGTTCGGCAAATTGCTTTTAAGGATTAACTAATGGATTTTTTTTTGAAAAAAATTTGTCAAGGAATTAATTTCTCTGTCTATTGTTTTGTGTTTGTTCATTCATGACTTAAAACATTGGCTCAAAACACGATCGTCAGACTATGCTACTCACATATATACACGCATCACTTCTGCAAGAGATTTCGGTGAATTTTTGGGCACTGTGCGATACGCAGCTACTGAATTTTATTTAATGATTATTCTGGTTATATAAAGAGATAATTCTTTAAGCCTAATTTTTATGGATATTTTCACTCTAAGTTTGCCGCGCACGTGGGTCAGCGCCGAAGTATCTTGTTTTTTGTTAAAATGGCAACTCGCTTCGCGCGGTCGTCAGCCAATTGAACTGTCATGTTCAATTTCGATTTGTCGACGTCTGAGTTGAGGTACAACGAGGTACATTGTCATTCCTTGAAATTATATTCCTTCTTCTCTTCAAAAATTATTGGTTTAATTCACAGAACCTTGACTATTGTAGTCGGAAACTAACACGTTTCTTGAAGTACCCGAGCGTGAGAGTGAAGATAATACCTTCATCATTAAAATTCACCTCTCTTCGTCGTGAAAATAAGGCATTTAATTTTTCATTTAATAGCTTGGAAAATTCGCTCAGTATATCAATTCAGAGTGCCAATCAAAAGGAATGAAACAAAAGACACTCACTTCAAGCCGTCAAACAAGCTCTTTTGAAAGGTCGAAAAATCATCTCCGACGCTCATGATGTATCCACTTGATAATGACCACGCTGCACGCGAAAACCGCGAAAAATTGTCGCATGGAATTATGGGAAGACTGCATAATCCTCCTTTGGTGACGTGTTTCTGTATTGCCTAGCATGTAGAGTCTACATTGTAGGCTCGAAACGGGGAGGTCGGACATGACGAAGGGAGGCCAAATTCGTAGGAAAAAAGTGAGGACATAGACAGCGCGCAGCATTTATATCAATTTTGCATTGATGTATAGTGATTTAGCCCCCGTAATGGTTAGCTTTTACTTTAGTGTTTTGGAAACTCCACAGAATGTGCTATAAATTTAAGAAAATTCAGTACCTGGATAAGAAGTGAGAAAATAAAGCGGCTACGATTATGTTTTGTACAGGTCTATGGGTGGTGGTTAGGGTTAGGTACTGATTTAGAAATGGTTGGCTTCCATTACTGTTTTGGAAACTCCATAGAAATACTATGAAATTAGGTACTGCTTGGTACTGTTTTCCCCGTTGGTGTACGTGCATTGGCTAAGTAAGAAATAAATGTAGTGAACCGTGTTTACGGCTCCCTGCCGACTCTCCTTTACTTTGGTCTCTCTTCTATTTCTTCAAAAACCGGTTTAAAATTTAAGACAGTTAATTAAGGTTTCCTCTCTGTGTAGGGTGGGTTCATGAGGTTTCCAAACTACGGTTGCCTAGAAGGAAGACTGAAGGCAGTTCCTCTGGATGGTAGCGTGAGCGAGGCGGCAATCTAGGGAGATCAACCAAGCTTACCAAGCACATAGTTTTTTAGCAGTATCTGCTCATCTAGTCAAGAAAGTAAAGCAGCAAACGAGAAAAGGAAGCAATAAAATAGTTGGGTGTAGCTACAAATTCGGGAATTGCTTGATGTGAGAAGTGATTTTTTGGAGGTAGCAAAGAGTGATATGAGTGGGGAAAAGAGTGGTTCGTGCCCCGACCATAGCAACAAGCACACACGTACATTTAATAAATTGAATCTGTTTGTTAGCGTTTTACACATTCAAATTGTTTATTTCTTAGCACCTTTCGATGGGCCGATACATTGTAAATGTTTTACCACCATGTTACAAAGCCACCTGTACCAGTGCGAACAGCTCACATTGACTACAATTGACTACCTAATTAGGTTAATATTGAAGAGAGCTGTGTCTGGTTATTGCAAAAATCAAAATTCGTTACTTCATCCTGAATATTTTGTTGATTTATTTGTTCAGTTGTTTGTTTGTTTTCATATAATGACAAGTTAAAATTGTCACTGCGCATTATGAATTATCTATTACGTTTGCTGTTTTGTTCACTGTAATAAACACTTTCAACGTTTCGATTTTTTTGTAGAGTCATTCCGATGATTGTCAATATGAAGATGTAACTTGCGATGATTGCGATGAGGAGATGCAAAGGAGGTTTTTGGATACTCACTTAACATCGGAGTGTAGCGAAAGGGTTGTGCAGTGTGTTTACTGTAAAGATGAATTTGCTTTCTGGCGCTTGGAGGTAAGCCTACCAAGGTACATTAAGTGCCTCTGTTGGATCCGAGATAATATATAGATTTAGCCAGGTCTAAAAGCGAAGCTCCCGTTAATAAATTCATAATTTAAATCAAACAATAAACTTGTAATCCACAGATCAGGGCACATTCATTTGACTTTTGAGGCAAAGGCTAAGTGATTTTAGAGAAAAATAATTTGACAGTCCAAGAGTGAAACAAATTTTACATCGAGTTATTAAATAGTCTTATTTGTACACCCAAAAATAGCAATCATGTTCGATCACAGTAGATTAGGCCTGGAAAACAAATAGACCTATTCGTGTATTGTATTTGCATTAGCTGTTGCATCATAATGTGGCATTCACCAGTCTCTCCTACATTGCTCCGTTAGAGAGACTATGGATAATTGGACAAGTTCGACAAGTTTAGTTTACTACTAAAAATTAAAGGGGAGTGAGGCAAGGGTGCCCGCTTTTCGGGATGCTTTTTATTCTTGCCGTAGAGACTCTTGCTATTCAGATCAGAACAAGCAAATCGATCAAAGAACGGAAACAAAGAATCTAAAGTCAGCTTATATGCCGATGATACCACTACTTTTATTCACGACGACTCGTCTGCAGTAGCCCTTTCCGCTTTGCTTGATCGATTCAGTACGCTTTCCGGTCTGAGAATAAATAAGTCGAAAACTGAAGGGTTGTGGCTGGGATTGTGGAAAAACAGATTAGGTAAAGACGAGCCTTTTGGAATCTCTTGGCCGAAGCAATACGTCTCCTCCCTCGGCGTAGTTTTCGCTCATGAAACGCACTTTGGCGAGAAAATCAACTTTAATGAACGGCTTGTTAAAATGAAAAAGGTGTTAAATCTTTGGTCAGGTCGGCGCTTGTCAATCCTGGGACGAATTGCTATTGTCAAAACATTAGCACTGTCTAAACTTGTTTATAATTGCTCTGTACTTGATACTCCGACCGATTTTGCTAAAGAAGTTAATAAGGTCATTTTCCCTTTCATATGGAACTTTAAGCCTGATAAAATCAAAAGAAACACACTGACAGGCCCAATCTCCAAAGGTAGCCTTAACATGTCAATTTCGCGGACGTAGAAAAATCTATCTTAAAGCTGCCTGGGTAAATCGCTATTAGACTGCTATTGTTCATCGGATGGTCATCATTGGTGTGCGCTTCTTGACTCTCATCTTGAAAAATTCGGAGGCTCTTTTTTGTTTCAGTGTAATTACGATTTGAAATTCTTAGATCTAGAAGGTCTCCCCCTCTTTTATAGGAACATTTTAACGGTCTGGCAGATCCTTCATTCCAAGGTACCCCTTAGTGTTAATGAAATTAAAGAGGAAATACTTTGGAATAACCGCTTTATTAAGATCGGCGGAAAGACGGTTTTTTATAGAGCATGGGTTAGTAAAGGTATTTTAAGAATCAAAGATATCCTCAATTCTTACGATAACTTCCTATCTTTCCAAGAGCTTAAAGACACTTTTCACATTCGTGGTACCTTTCTTGATTACGGTGGTCTTCTGGCCGCGATTTCTAAAGATTGGAAAAATGCTATCTTACATGGCAATCAGGAACACACCAACGAACCAAAGGTGATACAACTAACCGTTGGAAATGTTTCAGCAAAATATGCTCGACTAAAGTTTGCTGAGAAATCTTTCTGCCCTCCATTAACTGAATCCTATTTAAGAGAACAAACATTCACTCCTAGTGCCGTATATGAGCTTCCATTCAAAATCGCCATTGAAAATAAGCTAAGAAGTTTTCAGTTCAAACTCATCCACAATATTCTTCCGACCAATGAATGTTAAATCTTCGCCAAAATGCGAACAATGTGATGCTCCTTATGAAACTATTAGCCATATGTTTTACGAGTGTCCTGAGGTAAAAAGTTTTTGGGAAAAAGTCATAGATTGGTGGAATCGTAAACGTTCTGAAAACATAAATCCCAATCCAACGGAAGTTCTTTATGGATACAAACCTGAATCTAACAGCTTTCATACTTTTAACCATTATCTCTTAATTGCTGGATATTACGTTTACTTAGCTAGAAACAAGTTTGAGACCTCAGAGCTGGAAGTTTTCATTGTTTTCCTGGAAATTAAAATCCAGTGCGAAAAAGAAATTGCAATAACAAAAGGAAATCTTAACAAATACAGAAATAAGTGGACCACGCTGTGCATTTCTGATTAGTGTTGGATTTATAGTAATTTAGCAAACATTTTTCCATTTGTTCTGCTTGTTGTCGTTAATCTGTTGAACCTTCGTATTTCGCTTTATTTTGCTTGTTTGTTCATTTATTTATTTTACTGTTTCGCCTCCTTTTTATCTGCCGCCCTGTTATTGTAAAGTTCATTGTAAATTTTGTTATGTTAAATGATGTTTAATAAATAAATTATTAAAAAAATGTACATGTAATTAGTTTTACAAATTTGAGTTTTACTGTAGTTTTTTAAGTTGTTAAGCGTTGTTGATCAGTGAATGTAAATAGCGCTCTAGAAGTTATTAAATTATTACTATTATAAAAAAAAAGAAGTAAATCTTGGCGACGAATCTGGTGGCGTGTAAACCAGCCTTTTAAACATACTTTTTCTCATCACGTCTCAGGTAAACAGTACTCTGAGGCCCTTTTTATCATACAGACAGACCTCGGACAGAATTTGTTCTTATTTGCCCTATTTAAACCTATAATTCTGCAGTTTTTCACAATTTTGCAAGAGAATTTGCACTCATTCAATATCCACGACGATCAAAGCACGCGCTTCCTTTGCACAACAAATTATAGCATTGAAATATAAAACGTTTTCATGAAGAGAATTCTCAGATAATGCCGGGACTTTTCAGTTAGAAAAATCTGGTCCTATGTGATATGCAGGGTAAAAATCATGAATAATAGACCTTGTCACGGTTTTCGACGCCATCTTGACGAGTAGGCAAACGCGTGAGAAATTACAGTGTTTGTATGAGAATCTAATGTCGAATAATTTCCGTAAAACGGCTGTTCTGAAAAAAATATCTATTGTAAACTAAAGCTACAAAGCAAAGGATTGTCCTAAAAAATTTGGGGGGTGTACCTGTGCTTAAATTTCTCCAGAGGCTTGCTTTAGATTTTCCATATATTTGTCTGTAATTTTCCCGGGACTTTCTTACAGACAAATGTATAGAAAATTGTAACAAGTGGTTCAAGGTCTTCTAGTGCATGTAACGCCCTCAAATTTTTTCAGGAGAATCCTTAGGAGTGAAGCTTTAGTTTACAATAGATATTTTTTTCAGAACAGCCGTTCTACGGAAATTATTCGACATTAGATTCTCATACAAACACTGTAATTTTTCGCGCGTTTGCCTACTCGTCAAGATGGCGTCGAAAACCGTGACAAGGTCTATTACGGGCTTTTAATGAAAACGATAAAAAAAATTCCCTAAATCACTTTCGGCCAGCCGGACGGGTTCTCACTTTTGACAGGCACCGCTTCAACATTATAGAGAAATTGTTATGTTTAGGTTTCCCTTTATTTATTAAACTGTGTATGGTTTTGTTATGTGTAATCTTTAAAAGCGAGTGATATTTACGCGCGGAATTTTCGCGCGGCGTTTTGAGTAGTCTAGTATTCCTGCATGCGATGTTTATGTTTGACTGGAAACAACCGGTGCAGCGATAAAAATTGCGAGAGGGACTACTAACAATCAATAAAATAAATATAATTCGGTGAAACATGTACAGAGACAATAATTTTCATTCACGAAGAGAAGTATTGAGAGTAAAGTGTCCCTGAAAATCATGAGTCAGGTAAGCATAAGCTTATTTATGTTTTAAGCCGGCTCCCGGTGTTTGCTCTTTTTCAAGATGAACTCGAGGCAAGAAAATCGCTCAGAGCTTTCTGTTTACAGCCAAAATCATAAGAAAATAATCTTCGGAACCTTTCCTTTGAATTTGCGGCTCTTTAGAAGACCACTTTTTAGCAGCTGTATTTCATTTTGTACACCAAGTAGAAAAAGACAGTTTAAAACATCACAAGATGACACAAAACTCTGTCAGCTTATGGATAATCCATGGTCAGCTCCAGCTATCAGTAATCAAGTTTCCAGACGCTGCATAAATTTTCCGCATGAACTCACCTGTCAAATTTTGACCAATTAGAACATAAGAATTGGACGTAGAGCGTGATCAATGCGTGACAGTGAGAAAAGTCAAACGCGATTACCTTCCCTGCATGTAAATGTAATAGCCGGTTGAATTTTCGCGTCCGAGGTCAGTTCGAAATCAACATTTTAAAAGTGCTGCTCATGAACACGACTTATTTCATATGCATTTTAAAAAAATTAAACTTGAGCCTGCGATCATTTGAAAAGTATCAACTTGTCAGCGGATACCTTCAAAAAACACTCGAACTCGGTGGGTCGATACCTGAGCCCGCGATACGGTCAGGCGATACTGGTTAGCAGAAACACTATTTTGACAGCTGTCAATTAATCAAAACATGGATGTAGAATATCAGGTTGCAGGCTCCCAAACTAGCTAGAAAGTGTGAGATTAAACATTGGTATGCCTGTGGTGAGGACGGACGGAAGGTTGGGTAGTCGGTGTACGGTCACGTGACTGCCGAATTTT